TATCTATCTATCTATCTATCTATCTATCTATCTATCTATCTATCTATCTATCTATCTATCTATCTATCATCTACCTACCTATCTTATCTAACATCTCAATCTGTCACAAATTCTTTCTATCTATCTATCTATCTATCTATCTATCTATCTATCTATCTATCTATCTATCTATCTATCTATCTATCTATCTATACTAGCTATATCTTTCATCTATCTCATCTGTTTATCAAATGTATATTTCTGTCTGTATAACTACATCACATGTATCATCTATATCACCTGTCATTTATCTCTCTCCCTCCCTCACCCCCCCCCCCCCCCCCTCCCCCTGTGTATTTTTCCCGCCGCCCTTTTGGGGGGTTTTCTGGTCAGTGGGACTTAAAATGATGAGTTTGGTGGTCCCTGAGGTCCAAAAGGTTGGTGACCCCTGGACTAGAAAAAAAGACAATATGGATTTTTTTTCATCTGTCAGGGAAAAATGACTTTGTTTCATCCTTTAATTCTGCAGACATCTATTGTTGCTCAGATAAAAGTATTTTCAGGAAATGAATTTTACTCATTTCTAAGGAACTCTGATTATAAATGTTTATATAGATTTTTTTCTTGGTCATAGATTAACAAAAGGATATACTTTTCTGGCTATTTTTGTGGTTTACTCAGTTTTAACTGTTGTTTTATGTGTCCTTTATTTCAATCTTGATTCTGGTAACTACATAAACAGTTTTCTTGACAACACTGTGGGAAATGGTTTTGCAATAATTTATTATTGGGTGCTTTTTAGCTTCTCAGTCTAAAGTTGAAAGAATATGAGTACACCAAAGTTGCCCAATTGGCTTCTGTACATATGAAGTCTTCCCATTTATATATCGATCTGAAATTATTATTTTTATAAATAATTCACAGCATTGAACATACCTTCTTCCCCATATTTTCCCCACAACAGCAATCCTATGAGATGGGATGGCCTAAGAGAGAGGGACTGGCCCAAAGTCACCCAGCTGGCTTTCTTGGCTAAGGCAGGACTAGAACTCTCAGTCTCCTGGTAATTGGCCCCAAATCAACCAGCCAGTTTTCATGCCTAGGGAGGGACTAGAACTCTCAGCCTCCTTGTGATTGGCCCAAAATCAACCAGTTGGCTTCCATGCCTAAGGTGGGACTAGAACTCTCAGTGTCCTGGTGATTGGCCTGAAGTCACCCAGCAGGCTTTCACACCTAAGGTGGGACTAGAACTCTGAGTCTCCAGGTGATTGGCCCCAAATCAACCAGTCAGTTTTCATGCCTAAGGCAAAACTAGAAATCACCGTCTCCCAGTTTCTAGCCTGGTGCCTTAACCCCTACACCAGACTGGCTCTCTCTCGTTTTAATGATAGGGCATCCGAGTGCTCACGAATGAAATTGCGACATGCTAATGCCATCTGATGGAGATGACCTCTGCGTTTGTGGATGCATAATGCATTTAGCTTTGCTCTAATGCTTGTCCTCACAGCTTCTGTGCTCTGCCAAGTCGAGCCCGTGGGAAGATGGTTTGAAGCCTTCGTGCGGAGGAGAAACATACATGTTTCTGCCTCTTTCCAAGAATTAGAAGACGAGAAAGAACTCTCTGAAGAGTCGGGAGATGAAGAATTACAATTGGAAGAATTTCCCATGTTAAAAACTCTGGATCCCAAAGATTGGAAGGTACATAAATTAATGTTGCGCCATTATGCACGTCCTTTGATTGTGCTTGTCAGAAGGTCACCAATCACCTGACTCTGGGACACTGCAACCATCATAAATATGAGTCACTTGCCAAGCCTCTGAATGTTGATCTCATAACCATGGAGATGTTGCAACAGTCACGCGAAAAATGGTTGTAATTTTTTTTTTCCCAGGGCCGTTGTAACTTCAAACGACCACCCCACAAACTGTTGCAAGTCTACCTGTGATAAGCAAAATGCAATAACTGCAATAGTGACAAGTCAGACAACAAGAAAAGGGAGAGACTACAGGAGCTGGGTTGGGGGGAAAGGATATAATTTCTTCATGTTATAGTTTCTGTTGTTATTAACCGGGGGCTGCTATAAATATTCGTGTTTTGTTTTTCCTACCCAGAATCAGGATCACTATTCAGTTCTTGGATTGGGACAGTTAAGATACAAGGCCTCTCAGAAACAGATCAAAGCAGCTCGTAAGTTCACCAAGCATTCATGAAAAATGGTAAAATAATAAAATTACCCTGTTTCTCCCCGAAAATACGACCTACCCTGAAAGTAAGTCCTAGCTTGATTTTTACACTGTGCCGAATATAAGCCCTACCCCCAAAATAAGCCCTAATGAAGATCCTGCCCATGCCAGAGTGGACAGGTAAAAATTAAGCTAGGGAGGGGATGGAGGGGTGAAGCTGCCATACTACTTACCTTTGGATAGTTGTAGCCAGGCCTCGCACACCCCGACACCTGCCTTCCTGACCATTTCTTCTGCAGCAATCAAGGGCAGCAAGGCTTTCCCGAAGGCCTCTGTAGCTGATAGCAAAGCTCTGGATCAATCCGGAGCTCTATTATCAGCTGCAGAGGCCTTCATGAAAGCCTTGTCAGCCACATAAGAAGAAGTTCCTGAAGGCCTCTGACAGCAAAAAGGATGCAATGCGTTCAAGTGAGGTTAGTCAATGGATGACTTCCCCCGAAAATAAGACCTGGTGCCTTTTTTGGTGGCAAAAAATATAAGACAGGGTCTTATTTTCAGGGAAACACGGTATTTCTCTCAAAGTTGAAATGTTTGTCACATCACAATCACTCATAGGCTGCAAGGTAAGAGTGGGACAAGGGGACAATTTAACGTCCTCCCTTCGACTAGTCTTACCCTCCTCAACAAGATGATATCCATACTTACCTTGGGTAACATTCATGAGCCATAAGATTCTGTTCTTAGCTTAAAAGTTGCTCTGCAAGAAAGTTGGGTAGCTTCCAAATATACATAACTAAAAGGACCGATGCTGGGAAATATCTATAAACCCTGCTATAAGATGGTAATGGAGGACTCAGAATAGCTAACTCATAACATTAGAGAAAAGCAGTAAAATGTATTTAATAGAGGCTTGAATTTAATCTAAAACATCTGACATTAAAACTTGTTGTGACAAAAAACAATACAGAAGTCATATATATCTATGCTGAGTCCAGTTGTAATTTTCATGAGTTGTCCCTCTTTTGGGATCATGTCTTTACATTTTTGTTCAGAACCTAAAGTTAATAAAAGTTTTGTGTCATTCTGCATCTTCAA